AAAGAAAATAGGCCGGGCGGTGGTGACGCACGCCTTTAATCCCAGCACTTGGGAGGCAGAGCCAGGCGAATCTCTGAGTTCGAGGCCAGGCTGGGCTGCCAAGTGAGTTCCAGGAAAGGCGCAAAGCTAGACAGAGAAACCCTGTCTCAAAAAACCAAAAAAAAAAAAGAAAGAAAGAAAGAAAGAAAATAGCTATGCTGTATTTGGTAGCGCATGCCTTTGATCCCAGCACTTGGGAAGCAGGGGCAGGCGGATTTCTGTGAATTCAAGGCCAGCCTGTCTACAGAATGAGTTTCAGGCTAGCTGGGGCTACACAGAGAAACCCTGTCTCAAACCCTCCCCCAAAAAAGAGAAATAAAATCGATGATTATTTGAAAATCATCGGGATTAGGAAGCCATTGTATGTCTACATGCATCAAGAAAATAAGAAGAGAATCTATCCACAGAGCAGAAACAGAACTGTATATTACTTCTCTGACTTAAGCCTGATACCCAACATGTATGAAGATGTAGGTTAGAAGTAGAGCCTTTGTTAGGATTTGGGGGACTTGAGTCTAATCACTGGCATGTAAAAAAAAAAAACAAGCAAACTATAATAATAGAAAGACACAGCTAATTATAAAAACAAACAAACTTAAAAAGACATTTCTCTAAGCACTGTCAAGTGGTTATAAACACATGAAAAAGTGCTCAACATCATTAGTCATTAGCAGAACATAAATTAAAACCAATTAAGATATTCCACACCCACTAGAAGAGCTACAATTAAAAAAGAATGACTTGACCTGGTAAATAGGCTTGTAATCCCAACTACTCAGAAAGCTGGATCATTTGGATCTCAAGCTCAAGGCCAGACAGACAACTTACTGAGTCGCTGCCTCAAAACAAAAAAATTAAAAAAAGGCCTGGGGACTATAGAGACCAGTAAAGAGTTCATTTATTGTTTGCAAGACCCTGGGTTCAATCCCGGTTACCACACACACACACTCAAAGTTGATATTGTTATTAGTAAAAATGTAAGAAATTAAAACTTTTCTTCACTCTTTGGGGAATGAAGAATAGTGCAGCCATTTTGGAAACACAGTTCGTTACTGCATCAGTTATTTTTCATTGTCATGATCAAATACCTAACAAGGAGCAGTTTAAGGAAGAGATAGATTATCTGGTCTCATGACATGCGAGGACAGCCCGTCATGGCTGGGAACACAAACTGTAGGAATGGTTCACAATTATGGAGGCTGTGGCTCACTCACACCAGTTTACAAGACAAAAGCTGACAGGAAGTAAATTTAAGAATGTAACCCTGAAGACCTGCCACCTAGCGACTCACTTCCTCCACCTAGGCTCCACCTCCCGGGGGATCCACAAGCACCCAAACCAGAGACAGAAGCTCTGCACCTTATACAGTCAAACCTCCATGACAGTTTTAAAAACTTAAACAGAAGTTTACTGTATGGCGCAGGAATTTCAATCAAGTATTTACCCATATGAAATTAAAATATATTCACATTAAGATTTGTGCATGAGGACTGGAGAGATTCCTTAGAGGTTAAGCAGACTTTCTGCTTTTGCAGGGGACATGGTTTCAATTCTCAGCACACGCATGAAGGCTCACAACCATCTGTTACTCTAGTCCCAGAGGATCTGACACTCTTGTCTGACCTCCTCCAGGTACCAGGCACACATACAGTTCACATACATTTATGCAGACAAAACACTCACCCATAAAAATAAAAATAAATAAATGAATCTTTTTAAAAAAAATTGTACTTGAATGTCCAAAAGACTATTTTTCATAACACTTAGAAACTATGAACAGCCCAATACCTATGAATTGGTAAGTGGATGACATTATATAGTATCTCTACATGGACATCTATCTACTCAGCTATAAAATGAACTAAATAGTAATATGTGCTATGAAATGGGTGAAACTTGCTATGGTTTGAATCTAAATATCTAGGGCCATATTTTGAGCATTTGGTCCCCAGCTTGGGGCACTACTTTGAAGACTGGAATCTTTAGCAGGTGAAAGCATGGCTGTCAGTAGGAAGTAGATAGGTTCCAGCCTGTGCTCTCTCTGCATCCTGCTGGGCACCATGTGAAAACCACCTGCCACATGGTCCCACCTCCACTGGCAGAGCCAGCACTTTATGCCTTTCCCTGATAGGATGACTGGGACAATCTCTGAAACTGTGAACTGAAATAACTCCTTCCCTCCCTAAATAGTTTCCGGCAGGTCTTTCGGTTGGAGGTCATAGCAACACAGAAACAACCAGTACAATGCACTATGCAGGCAGAAAAGGAGTAGATGTAAAAGAGTACATATCATGAGATCACGTGATCCCATTCATATGCAACATCGGAGAGTGAAACAGATAAACAATTGTCTGGGATTCAAAGTGAGAGCAAGGGTAGACTTCAAATGGCCTCAGTGGGCAAAGATGTATGGGAAATACTCTACAATTGGATGGTGGTGATGGTACCTAACTACAATCTCTATAATGTGCAAGTGTAACAGTGGGTGAGCAGGAAGATGAGGTCAGCTTCTCCAATGTATTGTCACAATCACTAGGAAGAACCAAGCCGTTCTCAGACTCACAGTCCATCTACTGAAAGAGACAAGACAAACGTCCTGGGAGCAAGCACTCCAGACACAACAGCTGAAAAAAATGACCTGGGTCCTCCCTAAAGCAATGTGGACATTTATTCAGGTGGGAGGAAAAAGAAGAAATTCTGGAGCTGAGGATGACTGTTGAAGAGCATGCTGCTTCCCGTCATTGTTACAGAATACTAGGAATAATTTCTAAAATGAGAAGGTTTAATTTGGGCTCGTAGTTTTAAGAAGTTTCACCCCACTGATTGGCTCCACTGATTTTAAGCTTATCCTTTTAGCAAGGACCATGGGATGGAACAGAGTTCATTTCATGGCCAGGACATGAAAAGAAAGAAGGAGCAGGGTCTCGCTGACTACATGCCTTTGGAAATAAACACGCTGACTGGAAGACCACCAATACACCATACCACTGTCTGCCCCTGGCTGAAGTCAAAGCGTCAATTTGTGAGAATCTGGAAAGTACTCTCTGTATGGTGAAGCAGAGTATGAGTCAGCTCTGATACCCAAAGAAACCCAATGTTGTCATCTCAAGTCTAGCAGGAGTGAAACTTCAGCATTTGAATTGCTGAGAAAGCCTGGTGAAACTCTTGAACTCAGCAAGAAAGCTCAACAAGTAAATTGCTACCCATGCATATCTGAAGTCCTGAGTTTGATTCCAGAAACCCACAGAAACGTAGACCAAAGTAAAGAACCAGTCCACTAATAGCTGTGGAGCCCCCATAGGACTGGACTAGGCCCTCTGGATACATGAGAGAGTTGTTTAGCTGGAACTGTTTGGGGGACACCCAGGCAGGGGGATCAGGATCCATCCCTGGTGCATGAACTGGCTTTTTGGAGCCCAGTGCCTATGGTGTGACACCTTGTGCATCCTTGGTGCAGTGGGGAGGGGCTTGGACCTGCCTAAGCTGAGTGTGCCAGGCTCTGCTGACTCCCCATGGGAGACCTTGACTTGGGAAAAGTAGGGATGAGGGGTGGCTGGGGGGAAGGCTAGGGGGTGGGAAGAGGGAAGCGGGGGGCATCTGTGGTTGGTATGTAAAGGTGAATAGAAAATTTCTTAATAATAAAAAAGGGGGAAAAACAAAATGAAAAGAAATGAACATGAGAGAGAGTAAGAGAGAGAGAGAGAGAGAGAGAGAGAGAGAGGAGAGAGAGAGAGAAGGAAATGGAGGGAAGAAGGGAAGGAAGGAAGAGAGGGAAAGCCAGAGAGATTTGTTTGCAGAATTGTGGGAAAGTAAGGGGTGTCAATATGCACTAAGAGAGGTATAGCATGTGAAATAGCAAAATAATAATAAAAAATAAAAAATAAATTAAATGGAAAAAAAGAACCAGTCTACAAAGTTGCCCTGTGACCTCCACATGCACTCCATGGCACCCACAGACACATGCCCAAGCACGGGCACACACACACATACAAATAATAGATGATTTATATTAAATTTAAAAAACCTCTTAAACTCCCTGCCAACACCAAGATCCTACGTCAGTGAGGTTCTGAACTTACAACAAACTCATGAGAGAAAAATACATGGAGGTTCAGATTGTGTGGGCTACATGATATCAGGAATGGCATTTTTCTCTAGTCCATCATGGTGTGAGGCAACTTCTGGGAAATTTGCTGACATTGACATGCATATGAACCATGAAAGTGTATAGAATGAAAGTATGACAGTCTTAATTTTCACGTCAGTGCACAAGGGAATTATATCACCCAGTCAAAGATAATTATATTTCATTTGTGGCTTGTTTCAATCTTCAGTGCAATCATTGAAGTTTATCTTGTGATTAAGAAAGATTACCTATTGTTTCCAATTACACATATAAACAAACAATGTATTCATTTATTAATAACTACTATAACCCATTAGTTTAAAAAAATGTATAAATGAAAGACATGTTGCTTAAATAAAACAGAGCCCCAGGGAAGAAAACATATGACTATATATATAAAATCAGTTAATCACAAGCTTGTTTTGATGATGGTTAAGAAAAAACACAGAAAATTTCTTCAAGTACTCAGGTAAATGAATCCAAACAGACAGCATGCAGCCAGCTCCACATAAAGTGTGCAGGTGAATATCGCCATACTTAGACGTTGCTGTTAAATATTGTCAGTGATATATTGCCTTTGTCCTTGCCTGCACTTTTATTGTACAAAACTCTATATTGATGTCATCCATTAAAATGCAACATTTTCTCCCAAGCACTACTACTCGATAGTTGGGAATGTGATCACATCGTGGATAATTGCTGGATTGTTGCTTTTAAAATAACATCTGTGTGTATATAATTTGGACAGAAATATGTCAGCTCTATTGCCAGAAACTGATGTTATTGCAACACACTTCAGAGGTATAACAGCTTTCAAAAGAAACTCTTACAGCATTTTATTTTTATCACAGGGGAAACGTAAGAGGGTGCACATGAATTTAAGACAAAACTATGCTTCCCAGGGCCATCTAATTTTTCAACATACTGTTCTTGTCATTAATCTATACCCATGGGAAGCCTGGAAGCCATGGCCTGTTCCTGGACTGTCAGGAACCCTTTTCTCTAATAAACAGGCTAAAACCTGCCTCCTGGCTGCAATACTGTGAGACTATAAGAGCTAATCCTACCATGAATTTCCTGCTTAAAAATCTTGTTCATAAAAGTGATCATAAGGAGGGCAACTTTGAAAAGAATATTAATGTTGTAAATTTCTATAAAAGCATTTTGCTGCTGCTCTAATGAAACTGAGTGCTTAAAAGGTACATCAGGAGCTTTCTGAAGAGTATTGGGATGATGGTCTAGCCGTAAGTCTTGCTGTCCAGAGAGTGTAGCCATCCACAGGACCCACCCCTCCAGTTCACCCAGGAGCACTTCACATGCAGCCAAGAGCACAATGGAGAGGCTCTTTAGGATATTTTCTGTCTGTTGACTGTGCAGCAACTAGTCAAACAAAGACGAAACATTCCAACGTGGTGTTGTTCACTTATAACCCAGGTAAGATATGCGAGTATCACAGATGGATGTCTCCTACCACTCCCCCACTTATAGCAGTCTTTCTTTTTTGTCTCCTTTTCTTAGAAATCGATGTTCGTATTACCCGAATATAAATTCATGTGTGCCCAACTTCGACATCTCCACTTCCATAGCCGATGGGACAAGTAGACAGAAAACAGGTGGAAGTGACCCATGTCATCAATCATGAGGGCTGAGTGACGTTTTGGGAACATTTCCCCTAGACTGCAGAATGTGTGTTCCACTCGGCTCCATGTGGATCACGCACAAAGACGAGGCCAGATGTTGGGGCATAAGGCTTAGTGAAAAAAAAAACATGATAGAAATCAGACAGCCATGGTCTCTGACCACCACAGAGTTAAATTACAAGTCAGATACAGAAAATATGTAGAAATCGCAAGGAATGTGGAAATTGCACACCATAATTCTAAACAATTCATAAACAAAAGGAAAAATGGGAGCAGTACTCATAAAATATTTGAATGAAAATAGAAACGTTCCATATCAAAGTTTATGGGATACAGTGTTTAAAGGGAATTTATTGTTCTAAATGCTCTATATGAAAATGTATCAATAATTAAAATCCAAATTTAATGGTATATGCTTTCTATCTAAAGAAAGACGAACAGCAGAGGAGGTGAAACACAAGAAAAAAAAAACTTCATTTGAGTGAAAAGTGCATTTTCTGAGGAACCAGGGTCATACCCCAAAACTAAGGGATTACCGCAAATGAAGCCACTATGGGGCCAGAACCAGGAACAGGATTCACAACTGTCAGCCTGTTCTCTGCATTCTCTCCCCTGCTCCTGCTCCTCCTCCTGTTCCCCTCTCCCCTCCTCCTGCTCTTCCTCCTCATACCCTCCCCCCCTCCTCCCCCATCCCCTCCTCCTCCTCTCCCTTTCTCTCCTGCTCCATTCTTTATTCCGTGGTACCTCAGCCCTGTCTCCTCACATACCTCATATTCCCAGCCCCTGAACTCAGAAGAAAGATAATATTTTTCTCCCAGGTTCTGTTTATAACACCCTACAGAGGAGGTGAGCTACCCTGGTCTAGATCCCCTGCTGCTCCTGTTCAGGTCACTGTAACCATGGCAATGGGTCCATTATGGCTGGTTATCTTCTGTATGATTAGGGTACTTCCTCTCAAGGGGAAAGAGGGAGGTGCCAGGGTACGCAGCAAAAGCACAGGCCTTGCTGCCCTGGTGTATCAGTCAGCTGTTGGCTATTGGAACATTTATCGAGAACACAGGACAAAACAGAGATTGCCCTGTACACTGACATAACCACACACAATAGAGTTGACCCTATATATTATCTTCACCACATGCAAACAGCATCATTGTTGAGCACTGTAATAAATACCTCCCTCACTCAGCAACCTGCTTATGTAGTTAGGTTTTTTTAAAAAATGGTTTTACAAAAAGTTGAGAATTTCAGACTCTCAAATGGATCAACCAAAAGCCTGCTTTTGGAAAGGTTAGAGAAGATGGACAGTGTGTCTCCAGTGATGTGTGAAGCAGATACCAGGGTGTTTGAGTATCCTTCATCTCTATGCACAAATGGTCTTCCTCCCTTTCAGCTTATGCTTCCAGAGAATAAAAACAAAACCAAAAATCCATGCTTCTTAAATTCATTCATACTTGCAGTTAGGATGCAAATCTAAATTTAATATGTTCTAGCTGAGCAGTTTACAAAACATTCTAATGTTGTGACCGTGGCTTGGTTTGGTCTTCTGTAAAATAAATCAATTTAGCTGATCTCAGATCACCAACAAATAATCAGTCATCACTGGTAGATGCCCAGCCTTCTAGCATCTAAATTTGGGGATGATGCACGCTATCCAATTGAATTTTTCAGTTAACTGGATGATATAATGGCACAGACACAAACTGAGACATCATTATAAGCCAGGAAAAATATTTTATTTCTGCGTGATTCTTACAATCAAAATGAAACCAGGATTTTATGAGCAAAGGAAGCCTAATAGTACCTGAGGCAAAGCTTGTTCAAAAACACTTCAAGGCTGTAGAACATTAAATCAGATTAAGTATTTAATTTAGCCTTATGTTAGACTATAAAAGCAAATATTAATTATTCTAACTAATTGGGCATAACTTAGGTTTAAACTAAATTTTAGAGACAGGCTTTGAAAGGATATCATTACAGACAGTTGTTTAATCAAAGTATTTAAGAATATTTCATTTTATAAATTTACATAAATGAATTTTTATAAGAAAAATAATGTTGCTTCTCTAGCCCAGGATTCATAGAGATTTTTCTCTTTCTACCATAGATTAGAATAATTTAATGATATCCAGAATTATGATTAACGCTTAGACTAAGTCATGGTTCATGATTTCATAGCAGATCACATAATCCACAGGTATGTGTACTAGGAAAGTCATGCTAAACAATGATCTCATAAGCAAACTTAACACTGTTCTTGTTTTGATAATTAAGAATCTCATACACAGATGTATATACACCCTGTTCCCTCTCCTCATATTCCTCTTCTGTCCCCCCACAACCACTTTCCCCTCCCAACCTCATGTGTTCTCTTTTCTTAAAACCCACTGAGTCTACTTAATGCTACCTGTGTATTCGTGGGTGACGATCCATCTACCGGCTTGTGGAGCTGCATCCTTGACTGTCCTTCCCCAAGAAGCCATCAATTGCCAATAGCTTCTCAGCTAGGGACTTCATGAGCCCCTCCCCATCCGTGCTGATGGTTAGACATGGCAGGTCTACGGCACACGTGAGCTCACAACAGTTGTGATTGCATGTAGAAGACTCCACTAGAAAGAACAGTTCTTTTGTCAACACTAGGACAGTTTGGTGATAGAGTGAGGCTGATAATGTACTCAAGTCTGGGATACTAAATTCTCTCTTCTATTTCTGAAATGCCAAAATAAGAAACCATTCCGGGAAATGGCAGTGGGCTAGGAATCTGGTTATCTAGATTTTTGGGCCTTTTGCCACATCGGAACCTGGTGAGTAATCTGACATCCTGGTAGCTTTGCCATGTCTGTGAAATGAACAGATTTGATAGCTGGCCTAAAGTTCATTCCGGCATGCTAATTCCATGACTCCATACATGTAATCAGGTCAGTACAGTGTGTGGAGCATAGAAAAGATGCCATAACTTTACCTTTTTCTTTCATTCCCTTCTGTGACTACAACCAAAGTCCATTTCTTTGCATTCCATAATTCATCTCCAATAACATCCCAGAGACTAGCAAACATTGCTGTCAACTCTATCTTTGGGAAACTTGGCCTGATGGTGAAAACATGTGAGTAAATCAGACTAGTGTGATTAATGTGCAAAACTGAATTAGTAATTTCCATTCATCACAAGGACAGTGCGGCAAAGAGACGAAAGAGCCGCTGCTTTAAGTGAGGACAGACACAATTAAGCACAGAGCATCTCAATATCCAAAATGGATGTTTTAGTGATCAGGAAACTCATCCAGCAAGGGAGAGAACCACATGTTCACAGAGGCATGAAGCAACCATGTACTCGGCAGAAGGGTAACTAAGAGTCTGCTTTCATGGATCTTCTGCCCTTGAGAATCAGTGATCTCAGGATGAACCATCCCTTCCGAATAATTTTTAAGCGATAAATGACTTATCATCAATAGAACTGCCACAGACATGTCTGTTACATTTAGCATTCCGATTATGAGGAACACTGTAATTATCACATTTTATATATTTTGAAGAGTCTGTCTACTGTGCCTCTGTGATCACCATTTCTATTTCTCATAAGTACTAAATATATTAACTACCATAGCTTTAGATCTCAGAGGCTTACATGGCAAGTCTTCCCACCGGAGTTTTCTTCTTCCTTTTTTTTTCTTTCTTTTTTTTTTTCATTCTTCAGGAATGTCTTGTTTATGTATGTTCTGGTATTTTGCCAGTTCCCATGAATTTTTATATCATCTTGTTAAGTTTCACTGAAGCCACTGTTGAAATTCTAATTTGAAAGATGAACTTGAGGAAAACATAAAGCTTTATGATACCAAGTCTATCTGTGAATTGATGTCTTATAGTTATATAGATCTTCAAAATCTTCTGATTAAAATTTGATATGTTTCCATAGGTTGGTCTATGTTTGTTAATTTGTTGCTAGAAACCTCTGCCTATCTTGTTATTATAAAAACCACCTGGTGCCTTTTATTTCTTGTAATTTACCATGAGATTTGAAGCACAATGTTAAGTAGCAATGCTATTGATAAGCAGTCTTCCTGCTTTTAAATGCAATGTGAACGTGACTGCAGGAAAACAGGAAACACAAGACTTGCTGCTCATCCTGAGCAGAAATCTCTCCTGGATTATGCCCTTCTGCTCCTTTATTCTAGGTGACTTTTTAAGATTATACTTCCAAATATATATATATATATATATATATATATATATATATATATATATATGTATGTATTTAGTCTCAAGACCAAAAAATAGACTTCTCAAATATGCCCTTCTACTCCTTTATTCTAGGTGACTTTTTAAGATTATATTTCCAAAAATATATATATTTATGTATTTAGTCTCTGTGTGTGAATAAATACACACACACACACACACACACACACACACACACACACACAAATACATAGGCCTACAGGCATGTAATACATGTGGAAGTCAGAGGACAGCTTGCTGGATTCATTTCTCCCTTTCCAGAGAGAATTGAGTTCCCTGATAAAAATCAGGATGACATACTTGGTAGCAATCACCTTTACCCACTGAACCATCTCATAGTACCCTTTTGTAAGAGTTTGTAGTGATGGAGCATTGACTTTTGTAAAAGACTCTGTTTACATTTATTGGAATAACATAAAAAACTTTCACTATCAATCTTATGTATGTGTATATAGTGTGTGTAAAAAAAGAGGGGGAGGCATACATGTTTCTGGGTTCACAAGTATGTGAAGGCCAGAGGTTGACTTTTGGTGTCTTCCACCATCATTCCCACAATATATTTTGTACAGTTTTCTCTTCAAATATAAGTTTTTATTTATCTATATAATAGCTCAAGAGAACAATCCATAGGTGTATAGCAATCACATGCTCAGTTCTGTAAGACATGCCAAGCAGTTTTCTGGAGTGGCTACACCAATTTATATTCCCATCAGGGATGTATAAATGACCCAGTTTCTTTGTCTCACCAGCATTTTGGTGCTATTTTTCATTTGGCTGTTCTGCTAGGCATGTGATCACATGTATGGTGGTCTTCAATTGCATTTTCATGGTGGTTATATAATGATATTGGATTTATAATCATGTAGAATTATTTTCATGTGCCCATTTGCTGTATGTGCACTGTCATTGGTTTAATATGTTATCCCTGGATTGAGGACGTATCAAATAGTAAGCTGATAAGAAGTTAGTTTACTTGGTGGTAGCTAAAAGGCTGAGAAACCATCCTACCTTGTAGAATAGGCAGGGTTTCTCACTGGAGTGCAGAGCTCACTGACTCACTAGCTTACCTATCGACCTTTGTCATGTCTCCTCCTGAGAGAATGCTAGTATTACAGTCCGGCTGAAATGCCTCTCCAATATTTACATGGGTGCTGGGACCCAATCCCTGTCTTCATGATTGTGGAGTAAGTGCTTTACCTCCTGATCCATCTTCCCAGCTCCATCTTGGGTCTCTTAATGGAGAAGATGACAACTGTGTTGTTATGAAAGGATAAGACATATTGATCAATGATGCAGAATAGAGTGCTCTTCAAAATGTATAAAATACAATACTTGTAATATAGATAACCAAGGAATAATAAAATAGAAGAGGTAAGTCGGCAGCAGTGCCATGATAAATAAGCCATTTATCATTTGTATAGTAATGGCAAGGCATTTATTACTTTACAAAAGCATGCAGAAATAAGATTTCTAGGAAATCTTATTCCAAAGGGTAGGAAATTCATGACAGCTAGAATGTGGCTTCTGTGTATGTATGCATGCATGTGTGCATTCAGTTGTGTGTGGGCGTGTGGGGGTGTGCCTGTGTTTCGCTGGATTTGGCTTTTGCCAGTGTCACTCAATCTATTTTGCATCTATGTTCACACCTGGCATTGGAGAGTGAGTTCTCTCCGCTGCACAAACGGTCTCAGTTTTTAACTGCTGCATAACCAAGTACTTTCAAACACAGAGACTTAAAGCAACAATCTTTTATCATGCCTCCCCGTTTTCTGAGTTGGACTTTTGAGTAGCGTTTCCCTGGGAAAGTTTTCAGTTCTGTGTGGTATTAACTGAGATCAAGGAGTAGCATTCAGCTAGTGAATGGACTGGGCTGAAGTCCAAGACAAATTCAAACAAATATGTCTTGGCGGGAAGGCTGGAATGTTAGGCTCATTTGGGCCCCTCATCTCCATACAGTCTCAGGGCTTTACACTGCACAATAGAGAAGTCTGATTTCTCACAAAATAACTCCAGCATCTAAGAAACCAATGCCTACCCACCTTTCCTTTTAAAGCCAGTTCCAGAACTGTTGTAGCACCACTGCTGTCACACTTTAATGGTAAATAAATAAATAAATAAATAAATAAATAAATAAATAAATGCCTTGGGAATGAAAACTGCAGAGGAAACAAAATTCATCTCCTCTTGGAAATAACATCAAATAGTTCACATCTACACCTTATCTGCCATAATATCTATTTATGGTTTTGTTTTCAGGATCAGACTACCCCGATAACATGAGTTTGGATTATTTTCTATTTTTCTATCCTCAAGAAAATTGTTAGGATGGTTTTACTATCCTGCTTCTTAAGTTCTTGGTAGAATTTCCTTCTAAAACCCTCAGTATCTGACACTTTCTTTGTAATGACAGTGACTGCAAGACTACTCCGGATTTCTATTTCTTCTTGAGTTAGTTTTGGTAAATCATTTTTCCAATGGATTATTCATTGTGTCTATATTTTCAATATAATGGCACAAAATTGTTGATCATTATTCTCTTTTTACAGATTTCAATAGTTATGTCAACCTGATTATTAAAACACATATTGTTCATCATTTATCAGTAAAGCTAAAATCCTTTGACTTTCTTAAAATTTTAGAAACTAAAATAGTTACTTATTTCTGTTGCACATTTGAGCTTTTTCCTCATTTTATGTTTTTATCTTTTCTATTTCTTTTTCTTCATCTTACGTTTATTTCATTTTTTTGTTTTATGCCTTTCATGTCACCCATAACATATCCCATTTGTTTATTTATAAACTTACTTACTTACTTACTTACTTATAGAAAGGGTCTCACTGTGTAGCCCTGGCTGGCCTTGAGCTCACAGAGATCCACCTGTCTCTGCCTCCCAAGTATTGGTATTAAAATCACATATAACCACCCCCTGCTCTTCATACATTCTCAACACACACTTTTGGATGACATGTTGCAAGTTCCCTCTCTATTCTTTTGAGGAATAGATGCTGTCGGTTTTAAAGCACTCTGTTACATAAATCTTTTCTTCACTGTTAAGTGCTTTCACATTTATAGACACTATTGTATATTATTTTCAAAGCAGTCTAATTTTCTATCACCTGGGATTGATACTGGGTGGTATCATGTAGTGGTCAAGTATCTGTTTTTGTCTTTATAATTGTCTATCTGGCCCAGAAAAATTTGTTAAAAGATCTTTGCTCCCATTGATCTATATTTCCTTCTTTACCATAAATCAAGTAGACTCATTTGTTGAGTTTGTCATTTGTGGGTATTATTCTATTACATGGATCTACAGATCCATTCCTGTGATAACACTACATTATTGTAATAATTATAGCCTTATAAAAAGCTTAATAACAGGTAGAGTAATTTTTTTCTAACTAATATATACAGAAATATAATTCATGTAATACATGCAAAAACTTAGTAAAATAATTCGTGAAGTATAAAAAATTGCTGATGACACAGATATTTTTAAGTGTAAGATTATGTTATGTTTGAATACCTTTTCTTTATACTTAAATTCTTGTTTCCTTTTAATTTATTGTACTAGATAAGATCTATTGTAAGATGGTGTCTTGGAGTAATGATAGCTAATCCAATATCACTATATGTTAAAATATTGTTCTGAATCTATTGTATTGATCACATCATTTGCACCTTTATGCTATGAATGTTGACTATATTGATATTATAATTTAAAACTAAAATTTCTGGAACAAATCAAACTAAATCAATATTTTATAATATATATATATATATGTATATATATATATATATACATATTCTTTGATTCTGATATTGTTATAACTTGTACTATCATGACCATAAGGGAATTTGACCTGTAATTTTTTATTTGTTAATATCTACCTTAAAATTTTACTATGAAAATTATACTAGTCTAACAAAGTGAGCTTGGACAAGTTCTTTCTATTTTATTGTCTGTAGCAAAATTAGCATTTTCCAGATGTTTTATAAAATTTACTAACAAATATCCTATTTCAAGTACACTTAAAATTTCTACTTCTTATGTCAATTTTAATGTATTTTTGTAGGACTTTGTTAAAGTTTCTCAACTATATTGGCTGAAGTTGGATATATGAGGTCTACATAAATATTACCTTTTTTGTTTCTTGTAGTAGATATTTCTGTATTCTCCTTTTTTTCTTGACAAATCTCATAATGAGTTTACTAATTTTATTACCATTTTCAAAACACCACTTTTTTTAGGAGATAAAAAGAGAGGAAGGAAGGAAGGCGATAGAAAGTGCAAGGAAGGAAGGCGATAAAAAGAGGAAGGAAGGAGATAAAACGGAAGGAAGGAAGGAGATAGAGAGGAAGAAAGAAAGGAGATAAAAAGAGAGGAAGAAAGTCAGGAAGAAAGGAAAGAGAAAGAAACTGGGAAGCATAATAGGAAGAAGGAAGATCTTAGCTGGGAGGGACCAGGGAGAAAGACTGGGGCATCACCAATAAAAACATGGGTTTGTAATATAGCACTAGGCATGGGAAGATAGCATCCTCATCCCTTTCCCATATAATATGTAGAGTAAGAAGTGACGTGCTGTGGGATGGTCTGTATGTCAAATTGCTCTGATTGGTCAATAAATAAAACACTGATTGGCCAGTGGTTAGGCAGGAAGTATAGGCGGGACTAACAGAGAGGAGAAAAGAAAGACCAGGAAGGCGGAAGGAGACACTGCCAGCTGCCGCCATGACAAGCAGTATGTGAAGATGCCGGTAAGCCATGAGCCACTTGGCAAGGTATAGATTTTTGGAAATGGATTCATTTAAGCTATAAGAACAGTTTGCAAGAAGCCTGCCATGGCCATACAGTTTGTAAGCAATATAAGTCTCTGTGTTTCCTTGGTTGGGTCTGAGTGGCTGTGGGACTGGCGAGTGACAAAGATTTGTCCTGACTGTGGACAAGGCAGGAAAACTCTAGCTACAGTGACATGTCCCAAG